AATAGCTCATTTAAAAGTCTCTTACTAACATCAAATTGTGTCGCTGTAGCTTTATAGAAGAGGATAAAGATTATATAACATTGCAAGTAAAACAGCCTTATTGTTAAGGATGAGAAAGCTTAGATAGGATATACTTAGATGACAGATCTCTACCCAGGAAAAGCTGTCTTAATGTATGTGTTCCTGGTATCTTCTGTTACTTTTTGCTGCTTTTTTTTTTTTTTTTTTTTGGTGAGCGAAATTGTTAGTAAAATGTAAGTAGACCCTCTTACAGAGGATGCAACAGAATGTCTGAACAGTGAGGTCCTGCATGTGTATTCTGATATGCTGTGGTTTTCCTAAATGACTTGATAGGCTTTGGAATTGTTCCAGTGGCAAGAGTGCAGGGCTTTATTCTCTTTTTATTTTGTATGTTTATTAGTAGGCTAAATTCTTTTGCTGCATTTTGTTACAGAAGCATTTGTGTTGACAAAGCTCCCAGTCTGTCCTGGTGTTAATACAAAGACTCTCTAGAAGTGATGATCTCATGAATTGTAATTGTATCTGGGTTGGCTGTAAACATTCAGGCTTTGTCCTCAGGCCTCAGTACATGCTAGGTGTGATGTCATCTCAGCATGTCATGTCTTACTGAGCAATTGCATTAGCTTTCCAAGCTGTACAGCATGCATTAGCTCGTGAAAGTTGCCCAGATCTAAGCATTGTAGCCTTTGCCTCTTGTGATGAATTTTTGGTTTTACTTGTAGAGAGCAGGAAAATGCCATGTTACTTAAAGCAGTTACATAAAAGATCTCAAACACTTAATACGGGTGACCTGTGCAGCTAAGCTGGATTATACAGAATTGCCGTATGTCAGCTGCGTAGTGAAAGGCCCAAAATCATGTTTGGGTGTGGGTTTTTTTTTGTTTTTTTAGTCACTGAGAATTAATAGTAAAATAACTGCTATTCTAGAGTTCCTCTCATGAAACGTTGCCTTCGTATTTGGGAAGCTTGTGTTCCTTACATGCCATAATTCAAATCCGTCTCTTCTCTCTATAGGATGCAGATATGGAAGAAAAGGCTGACAATTCTCTCAACAGAATTAGCTCATGTGAAATTTAGTTGTTTGCCCTTACAAACCACAAGCTTAGTTTTTCATTGCATGCTATGGTGTTACAAACTCATAAGCTTGTTTATATCTCAAGATCAGAATGTTTGAAGTTTGCATGTGAATTCTGTATTTCAAAATATAGTGACTCATATCCGCATGAAACTCAGCTGTTCCAAAAATATGGATTACTTACAGATCTAGAGACACTTAGTGCCATTTATGTTTTTAAGTTAAGTGAACATATTTATTGGTAAGTCTGAAGAATTAAAAAGTGTTGCAACAAACTAGAAGTTAGATGAACTTGTATTTTAATATTAAGCATCTGTTGTGGAAAAAGTTGGAATGTGCAATTAAATATCCATATTCCAGAAGTCTAAAATTTGAAATCTTCTCTGAAACAGATGAGTGAATATGCTCACACAGTGTTTAAGAAAAGCCTTTCTGGTAAATGCATTGTTCCTATTCATGTTTCAAAAGCTAAAGCAGACTAAAAATTTGAATATTTGATAAGTTCTAGGATATAGTAATTCATATGTGCTATACAGTAATAATGCAGGCAGTATCAAATCTTAGTATGTTTTCTCACATGCAGCAGGACTTGTGCTCATTGCAAAAAAGTGAGTTGGAATGTGAGCAAAGAATGAGGAAGGACTGTCATTCAGTGTGGAAGGCATCAGCGCATTCAAGTAGCTTCTGTAATGTGTTTCAACACATAGTGGGATTGCTTGATCATCAAATCTGTGTTATCAGTCATGTCCCTGGCTGACAAAGGATTTGCTGCAATTTTTTTGGATGAGATTTTTGTATAGGCCCCCCAGACTGGGATAGATACTGACTGCAACCAACAAATGTCTTTCTGTGGGTTTGTTCATTAAATCTTTCTGGTGGAGAAGGGAGAAACAGAATTGTCAGGAAAGAATAATATAGGCAGTGAAGAGTTGAGTTTCATTCTGTAAGCAGTCTTCAGATTCCAGATACGGTTTAGAAGAGTGGACTGACAAGTGTTTATCTTCTATAAATCATTGCAATTAGTAGACTTGCTTAGACCTGGACTAACATAATTAACAAATGCTTGATTTTAAAAAAAAAAAAAAAAATCCAAAAATACCTGCTAGGAGAATGCACATACACAGTCCAGATGCTGACTGTATCTGGAAAATATTTTTATTCTAATGAGTCTGAGGATTTTAAGAAGCAGATGGCTCAATGAATCTTGGAAAGCATTTTGCTTGTTCTTTGTATTTTCTGATGGGAATGCTGGCGTAATCTAAAGTCACAGTAGTAGTGTTTACCCTATTGCCTTTCCCTTAATTTAATAAGCTGGCCAGAGAAGTTCAGGTCTCAAAAGTAGCTGGTTCAAACAAGTCTTCAGGCAGTAGGACCATGGTTAGCAGTCTCCCTTCTGATGTTCTGCACTGTGCATAAAGATCCAGCGTGCAGTATGAAAGTCTTGAGGTAAGAATATTGTGCTATACTTTACTACAGATAGGTTGTATGTTATTAAAAATGAGTGAGATGTTATCAGTACAAAATCTGGAGTAGCTTTCCTGAAGTGTAGCTCCTGAAAATAATAGTTTGGGAACCCAGTGGCAGCTGGGAATTTAACCTTGTTTCTCCAGCAGTGATAATGGTTAGTCTTTCAAGAGTGTCTTAAGTGAAACTGAGGAGAAAATACACTTTTCCAAGGTGCTGTATTTGGTAAAGGAAGAAAGTGATTAAACCAGACATAATCACCCATCTGTTTGCATTTCTTAGCCTTAAAATCTTGGCAAGCTGAGCACTGGACTTTCTTGACAGACATTTGAGATGTTAGGCCTTAGTTAATCAAGAATAGATATTCTAAGGTCTCTGCTTTGTGTATGGTATGCTTGGAAGTGAAGCTGAAAGATGTAAACAGTTTGTCTTTTCATAAAGATACTAGGAATATCATGTATTCTTCTAAGGTATTTTTAGCTGTGATTTAAAAAAAAATATAAACTTGGGGGGGTAAGCTTGTTTAAAAATAAGTTTATTCAAAGGCTTCAGTTTACAGGTGGGAATTTTAGACCTCTGGAGCTAGAACTTTCCTGAGGCATGCTGCCAGGTGGGAACTCTGCTGTGGTAGTCTGTTTTGCCAAAACTGATGTCCTTTAATCACATGGTTTCTTTTATGAGGTTCAGCACTTCAGCTAGAAGGTCAGTGAGGAAGTAAGCTTCATGTTATTAAAAGACAATTCTAGCATGTTTGTATTTTTCTCCAGTTTTCAAATGGGTAGTGTTCTGTCTTCTAATAAACCCAGTATCTTTGAAATGACAAAAGCTAGTTTAAGTTAGGAAGGTCTGGGTTTTTCTTTTGGGACTTGCGCTTTGAGAGCTTGCTAAGGCTAAGTTTGCTTGGGAGTCACTGAAGACCAGGCAAGTAACACTGACAGACAGGTATGATTGTGTTCCTTCTGTGAAACATCTTACTGCTGTCTTGAAAACTATAAAGCAAAAAATATACAATGCAATCAAGAAAGTGTAAATTTGTAAGCATAGTGCACATTTTGGAGTCACCTATTAGAGTAGCAGTAGGAACCTTGACTCTTAAGTGTTGAAGAATGAAGCATGATTTGTTGTCTCTGGAGTGAGAAATACGGATTTTTTCCTTTTAAACTGCAGTGAGGGAAATGAATGAAAATTCCCTCATATTATTTTGTAAGATGTGGGGATATGAAGATAATGTCTGGGTGATAAAACTGAGGTTCAGCAATTTGTCCTCAGCTACTAGAATTTAACTGAATGAGAAGTGGAGAAGCCTTAAATAACTGAAACAAAACGAAAAAATCCAAGCATGTTGATGATATGAAGGGACACTTACTGTTGAGTTGGAAGCTACGTGGTTTCCTCCATCCTCACAGTGTTACCAAACCTGTGTTACGAAAAAAATCGAAACTGCTTTTTGAAACATCTAAACAAGAGGCAAAGGACTTCTGTTTACCTTTCTGTAGCAAGGGTCTTTCTAGCACCTTTTGAAGGGCTGCATGAAGGGCTGTAGCAGCTTAGTGGTGGAAAAATCACTTGTCATGGATTGTATGAGCAGCTGTGGGCCATGTCTGTTCTGTATGTTGTATGTGCCCTAACCATGGCTTGTTCTGGAAAATCGAGTACATTTCTAATCCTGTGAACCTGTTCGATCTCACTGTCACTAGGATGTGTTTTGGCACCCGCCTAACAACTGTAGGGCTCTATTGATGGCAGAAAGTTATTCTCTAAGCTTTCTTGATAGGGTTGTATGCAATATATTGTTTGAGAAGTCTTTCAACAGTGGAAAGTCCTCCATGAGCCTTGATGGTACAAAGATAAAACTGCAGATTTTTTGGCATCATCATCTGCCCATTAACTTGTCCTCTAAGGCAGGAGATTTGACCTATGTTGCTTCAGTCTGAGGGGCAGTGCTAGAACAGTTTGAATAACCCTGTTTGAGGAGGAGATCTGAAGACTGCAGGTCTTGTTGCTTTCAGAGCTTTTTTTTATAGAAGAATTTGTATTTTTATGAAAAATAGGCATCGATACAGTTTTATTCTTTGACACGTACATGTGATTCCATTTTTTGGTGATAATCACCTGTACTGCATTTCTAAATTTCTCCCTCCTGCTCCACCCGCCTCCAGGGTTTTAAACTTTTCGGCACTGTTTCTTATTTATGTCCATCATATGATCAAGATGAAAATAGGATGAAATACTAGAAGAACCAGTTGGATTTCTTTCAACTTCTCTTGCATTGCTTAAAGAAGCTTCTATGTTACCTGACTTAGAGTAAGATAAAAGATGATGTTAATACTGTGTTGTGAAATTTTTGGGGTGAATGAGTTTTAAAAACTTTATGTTTTTTTTGTTTATTTATTTGTTGGGTCTTTTGTGTTGTTTTTTGTTTGTTTGTTTGTTTTAACAGGAGTCTTACCCCTCTTCATCACCAATATGGTTTGTAGAATCAGATGACCCAAACCTGACTTCAGTCTTAGAGCGTTTAGAAGATATTAAGAAGAGCAATACACTGGTGAGCAAGTTTTTTGGTTGTTTGGGGTGTTTATTTGGTTTTGGGTGTTCATTTAGCTTTGTCACATTAACAAGCAATTAAATTGGTTCAGGTTTGGGGTTATTTGGGGTGGTTTGTAAACACAAGTTTCTCTTCCAAAAACATATGAACCAAAAGTAATCTGAAAGATTTGGGGCAAGGAGAAGATGACTTAAATGCCTGCTCTTTAAAAAAAGTTAAGTTTTGGCCCCAAAAATTACACAGTTTAAGGTTTTCTGAAAATAATTAAACAGTGAAATGCATGAGAACTTAAAACTACTGAATAAAACAGCTCTTCTAGTGTTTTCTTTGCACAGAGATCAATTACAGAGGCAAAAGTTTTGTGTTCTTGAGAATGTATATTCTCTAAAACATGGCTGCAGTGGTAACTGATACAAATAATTCCTGTTTTCAGTAAAGAAGACTTCACCTGATAGCTTCTGGTTCATCTGGGTGTTCCTTTGATAGTGCTAAGTTTGAACAGTGTTGTGACTTTGGACAATTCTTATTTAACGAAAATCTTTGCACAGATTCTAATGGTAGTTTTGTATTTCGGAAAACTATCAGGCATATCTTACTTGAGTACATTTTTGATGTAGTGATAGGAGCTCTGTGTGTGTGTGTATATATATGTATTTAACTTCCCATTCTATGCAGAAAAGTAAGCGTCCTTGACTATTTATTACTTGGAGAAAAATTTCAGTACAAATGTACTTTGTTCCACAGAGAGCAGTATTGCAGCCTACTGACAAATTCAGTGATTAAAAGGGTTGGTTTTCCTCTCCAAATTCAGCTTTGTGGATATAAATAACAGTTAAGGATGATCTTTATTAACAGATTATTTTACCATTTTTTGTTTATTTTTGTGTACAGGAATGCATGCATGCATGTGATGCATACAAAACAAGTCAGTCTACAGAATACTGCTTCTTGCATGGATTATGTGCTGGCCCTAGTATTTGCCTGGTTTTGGAAAAGTTGGGAATGTTCGTTCTTGTGAAATCACTTACCTGTCATGTTTACTGGGATAACATTAATCAAGCATACTAGACCTTAAATAAGGATGTGTAAACTTCTTTTTCTAAAGAATGTTTAGGATGCAAAGAATGTTTAGGATGCATTTGACTTCTAGCAGAAATAATTAGAAAACTAACAAGTGAGAATTTCATGTGCTTGCTATAAGTAAAAACAAAGGGGCATTGCAGAAGAACACTAGTGTTTTAATGTATTATGTTGGATCTGATTACAGGAAGCGTACATGTCAGTTGTGTATTTTCTTCTTAAAACCTTAACTTTAGACTAAACTACATTTAGAAGAATGTTACAGATCTCCTAGTCTTTGTGACTTCTGCCTAGAAAGATGTATGACAGTATAATAGCAGAAAATGTGGCCAAATCAGCTTTTTTCTTAAATACACTTCTCGGAACATTCTTCAACTTGAAGCTGGTGTGGCTGGTAGCTTCAGACTAAAGGCTTTAAACAAGATATTTCCTATGTTTAACTATCTACAGGTTTGCTTGCAATAGGGTAGAAAGCTTTATCGCAAGCCTGCATAGGACTTGCTGTGCTGAATTGCATATGCACATAGACTGCTTATGTACATCGTAAGAAAACACCTTCTCATATCAAGATTGTACTTGCCCATGTCAAAGCTGATGGGTTGATGTAATAGACACCTGTGGATAGCCCATTAGTTTCTCAGGAATCCACCCCACATCATGTTATGCCATGATGAAGACAGATGGGAGTGGTTGAAGAGACACATACTTAAATACAAAATCTGACTTCTTTGTTTTGCTCAAAAGGCTTGGCTTTGTGGGTTTTGGGTTTGTTTTTTCTCCCTACAGCTTTTCCTCTTGCAGCTCCCTCCCTCCCCTTCAGGGGCATTGGAACAACTCGCACGCAGACTTCTTGGAGTAGGATAGGAAGGGATAAGGAACTACTTACTATCTGCAGCAATTCCGAGGTTTCTGATTTGTCATGCTCTCTCCTAAAAACTCAGGTAGTTCAATTTAGACTTTTAGAATGTTTCAAACTAGTTCGCATTTAATTTATCGTAGCTGAAGGATCATTTGTGCCATGTTGATCTAAACTCATGCAGTTAGTGGAACAGTCAAATTTTGAATGGGAAATTGCATTGGACTCTTCCAGGAGCTCAACTGAGCACAATGAGCATGTGCTAAAAGCACTGCCAGCACATGTACCCTGATTTAGAGTTCCTTGGTACTACTCTGCCCTTTTGACTTGCTTTGTAACTTTTGACAGGTATCAGCTGTTTGGGAAACTGAAGAACATGCTCTTCAGGCATAAAAGTTTGACAGGGCTATGTATAGGCCTTGTCATTTGGCACGGTAGAAGGAAAACTGGTTTACCTATGGTTAAAATCATTCACATGTTTCCTGGAAAATCTTCTGTGGGTCCGAAACTCTGTGTTACCTTGGCATCAGCATGGTGCTTCTTGTTATGAAAATTACTCAAAACACTAAAAATGTTGAAAGGTTAAGAACATAGTCAGCATACATAGCATTAGTTTTGGAGGCTTTAGCTGCTTTGACTGTTCTTATTGAACAAATTCCAGTCAGCAGATGAAGGGGCTACAGAATTCTCTCTGACCCCTAGTGTCTCCTGAATTCTCTTTCAGATCCTGAAAATCAGCATTGCACTAGACTTAGTAGGTAGCTGAAACTGACAGCTGCCTTCTAGTGGTTGTGCAATGCAAAAGATAAATCCTACTTCAATTTCGTTGTTCTGTTTAGTATAATGGAAGTTATAGTTGCAAGTTTAAAGTCTCAAACCTTACTTCATGGATTATTAAGTATAATTATATGCAATTTGGAGGCTTGCTTTTTAAAGACAATAGTGATATGGACTTAAATTCAGATGGGCAGCTTCAATTCTCACATTCTCCAAACCTTGAGGGCTTAAACTTGCATGGAAGGCTTCAAAAGTGTAGAATTCCTGGCATAAGTATGTGTACAGCTTGGATAAGCTGCTGTCCCTAACCACACTACTTCTGTGTTAAGAATTTAGATTTAGTCCCACATGATGGCATTTGAGGAAAGAATGTTGGCTCTTGCAAACTACTAACACGGTAGCAACTGTGTATTGGGGATCACAGAGACAAAACACAGGAAGAAGCTTTGCTTTACTTTCTGAAACTGCCCAAGGCTGCTGAATGTGTGTGAGGCCAGTTACTGTCACAGACTACCTGATAGCTAAGTGGTGGTCACACTCCAAATGACAGTTATTTCTTCCCTCTCTTTCTTCTTCAGCAGTTTTCTTCTTAGTGGTAGGCTAAGATTTATTAAGTCATTTATTTTTATACAGATCTCGATAGTGTGTATGTATATATATGTATATAGATACATGTAGAAGAATAAGTATGTGTATACTTACACTATACTTCTTCAGTCCATGTTTCTTGGTAATCAGAAAACAAGGTGCTTCATAGTGAACCCAGCAGTATATTAATATCATGAAAGGTATCCTAAAATTGTTAATGCTTTCATACTGCATTAGAAAGGTCTCTTCATGCATAAAAAAGCCTCCTAATGTAGGATAGGTTTCAGAAAAACTGTTCTAAACTGTTTTCAGATTTGTAAGGTGTTAACACAGGAAACAGAAAATTCCAAGAGGTGTTTTGGTGTTCTAAAATACCATTATGGTATCCATAAGAACTACCAACTTCTCAGAACTCCTGAGGCACTAAAAGTTATATTACAGATGTATATATATTATATTTTAATATTTTGTTATCTATAATCAATATAATTAATTTAGAAATTTGTCATTGTATTAGGTCACTTGAGCATTTACCTTCTGCAGGCTATTTACATTGCTCCTTTAGTACCCTGTGGATTATACATTCTAGTTGCTGTTTAGTTTCTGCTTTAGGCAGTTTGTATTCCAGGGGAACTAGTGGTATACTGATAGCCCACTTCTCTTCAGTAGCAGCAAAGTGGGTGTGTTAAGCATTCATTTTACGTTAGCCAAGCATGTGAAGTTAGCTTGGAAATACATTTACATTATTAATATGTGGCAGAAATCTGCTATCCCTTTTGGTACTTTGATACAGTCTATTCATGTACCATTAACACATACCAAATCATGCGAGGCCCTGCCTAGAGCAGAGCGGTGGATCAGATAACTTCCAGACATGCCTTTCAGCCAAAATTTTCCTATGATTTTTCATATATATGAGCAGAGCATAAGGGATGATGGTGATCCATGGCAGAAGGATTGAGGGTATGAAATTAATTTCTGTGGAGGAAGAACATAGCAATAAGGAAGAAGGGTTGTAGAGACAGGATCAGCTTCTTGCTCTGCCACCACCGTTGCAGATTGCAGAAACTGACGTCAAGTAAAACAACTTAGCTATATAAATGAAACACATTAAGCTAACCTTGAAGTGTAGACTGCTGCCAGGGAAGGGGGGCCCTGCTCCCAGCTGCACAGTCCTGCTTCCTCACTCTTTATGGTGAAATTGGTGCTTATGTGCTGAAGCACATCAGGAATTGATGTGCCTTGAAGCTTGCAAGCTGCTGCATGGTTGTGTGATCTCTGGTGCCAGTGGAAATGAGAAGGTGACAAATGTGCCGCTGGAGGCAGGGAGACACCTCTTCAGGCCCAGCCACTGTGTAATTTAGGCCAGGTTGTGCTAGCAGTTTGTGGCTTTGAGAGTGCTCGTGTACCTTGCAGTGGTGCTGTGTTCAGAAGGAAGCAAGAGAAGCTTACAATATGTTAGGTCCTGTCTGCAAAGATTCCTTCTGAATTTCAATTCAAGAGAATGGGGAGTGGAGGAAGCAGGGCAGGAAGCAGTTAACTCTTTTCCCAGCCCTTACTGTCCCTTTCTGTAGAGATACAGTTACTATTGTGTTCAACTGCTTTCCAAGCTTTGGACCAGCCAAATGCCAGTGGTGGTATTCTTCCCCCACCATCTGTATTTTTTTGTATGCTTCACAACGGATGTAAACAAATTAATGGCTTGCCTAGCTCTACATAGCTACATGAGAAAAATTACAGTTCCTGAAATTTTATAGTTTATGCTCCAACTCTCCATGAGGCAGTGTTGTTGGTGCAGAGAAAAATTTTCTGAGCAAAATGTGTAGCAGTGCAACTTTAAGCATCTTGCACATACTGAGAATAATAGTTCTAAGACCTGTGGTTCTATCCACCAACTAACTTTTTGATTGATTAACTTGCTTTTTGTCTGCTGAAAGATTTCCTGATGTTTCAGACACCCAGGAAGTTTCAAGCAGGTGTAGAATCTTAACGCTGATGAGAAATGTGATTATTACAGAAAGCTTCTGGCAATATAAACTATCACATCTCACGTATATACTAACAAAAAATGTGTTGCTGATACACCAGTTCTTTTGGTGTTATCTGCTTTATTTTTGAGTTAAGGATGGCTGTCATGAATGATGCAGAAACAGCAAATGTGGTATGATAGGAGACAATGTCATAATTCTTGTAATGCAGGCTGGTATGTCAGTTCATGGCCTCCGATGAATAAGTAACATTCCTATTAAACAGGAACATTGAATTCTATTGGAGAAGGAAAAAGCACTGAAGCTTTCAGATAGCAGAAGGGCAACATTTGCTTATCTCACTGCTAGTGACTTGGGCTTGGAAATGAGTTTTTAGCCCTGGAGAGGCTGAATTCTCACTTGCAGTAGGGTAAGGTAAGAGCATTTAAACTGGCCAATAGCCAGGCTTTAGACATGTAGAATATTTTGGAGTGACTAGTTTTTTCTTAGATACCTTAATTTATTGTATATTTTAAGAAATACAGTATACAAACACCAAATCATGTTGTAGAGGTATCATTCTTTCAGGATAATACAGTCTATGCTGTACCTTGGGTGAGGCCACATTGCCTGAGTCTCCCTCCTTTATGGAGAGATACTTAGGGGAAGTGGGAATGGCTGCTCTAAGTGTAACTACTAGTAGTGCTGAAGGATATGCATACAGAAATGCCTGTCTTGCACACTGACTTCTACAAGTGGCAAGATGAACTCCCTTTGGTATCTGGAAGAAAAGTCCATAAATGAATGTATAATTTTTGCAAGCTTCATCTAGGGTATTATTCTGCAAATAATGAAATGTTGACCATTTAGCAAACGTATTCTGCAGTCCTTTCTTTATTTTTCTTACATAGCTATGCAAAGACCTTGAAAAGTTAGGTAATGCAGTAGTACAGTCTTTTATGGTCTTGGCCTATAACTAGGAATCCGAGTCTGCCTGGAGAAAGTTAACAGCTATGGAAATCTACTTAATTAGCATGGTGATCAAGAAGCAAACTTAATGTTTCTCTATTTCTGCAGAAGTATTTTTTTTTTTTCCGGGATAGCATTACAGTGAGCGAAAGGTGTTCCATATTTTGCAGTTAATGGAACACAGTCAATGTAACACAAAGTTGGAAACAGAAATCAGTGATATTAACAGATTGTGCCTCAACCTAATACAAGATACAGCAAGCAGACTACTTGGGCTCTAGCTCAGAGCTTGGCTAGTTTCTATGCCTTGTACAGTGTTTGTCTTGCTTCTGGTGCCTCACTGGTGTGCCCTAGAAAGGGATTGAGGATGTGGAAAATCGGACTGTTCATCCTTGGTTTTTTGGAAGTCATGGTTCTTTAACCTAGGAAACTGGAATGGACCATCTTGTCTCATGGAATATGACCATTTGATTATTCCCTAGTGATTTGTGGCTGGGACACCTATACTTGGAGTGGATGATGCTACCAGAGCAGATTATTCTTTTGCTCATGACTTTCTTCACTTGACATGAGGAGATGAATGGGAGCGGCCTTTAACTTGCCATGTCCTTGGTTTCCCATCGTGGGGATTTTATTACAATGACTACAGAGAAAAAGAGGGGTCTTTAAACTTTATTCCAGTGCATGCAGATTTAAATGCTGGATACTGACTGAAAGTTCAGTACCAACAGGTGAAGAAAACTTAAAATATATTGTTCTGTGCTTTGGTTTAAATAGCTGTTTCTGTGTTTTCTTTTTTATAGCTTCTTCAACAGCTGAAGAGATTAATATGTGACCTCTGTAGGTTATATAATCTTCCTCAGCATCCAGATGTTGAAATGTTAGATCAGCCATTACCAGCTGGACAGGTAAATGAAAAAGCTGTGGACACCTCCTTATGGCAATGAAGGAGTTGTTTTTTCAACTCCAAGAAATAAGATGGTGGGAACAATTAAACCTTGTGTAAGCCAGAACCAAGATATGAAGCACTGTTGCTTTATGATGTCCTCAATTTGAATTTTATTTGCAGAATCCATTTAATAGTGGTGTGATAATATTACACAATTCCTTTGGAGTTTCTGTGTCATTAAAAGGTGTGTATGTGATACCAGTGCTGTCAGTTTAATTCCCTCCTAAGTACTGTTCAAGTCAATCGCTGTGCATTCCTAGTGCTTCCCAGATTTACTTTTTTCTGAAATGTAAATGTGATTAAGCACTGTCTGCTTTTTCTGAAGACTGTGTTCTACAGTGTGCACTTGGATGAACTACTATTGATGTTTTCCTTCCTCTTCAATCCCTTGCAGAGGCATGGGATATCAAGACCATATGCTACTTTGGGTAGGGAGTATCTGAGGTGCCTTGTTTACTTTTTGGGCTCTTGACAAATTAAGAGTTGTGAAGGGCTGTGAAATGTTCTGGTTAACTAAAATGTTTTGTGTTGTGCTGAAAACAGAATTGGTAACTGACAGTAGCTGTTCTTTTTTATATTTTTAATAAGATTATGATACCGTCTTTTGCTTATACATGTTCAGATGACATGATTTCTAAAAACTCCTGTAGCGTAACAGATGGTTTTCCTGTGGTGACAGTACTATAGTAATGACAAATAACTTGCTTAATTTTGTTCATGTGCCAAATTGTAATCCTATAGGTCTTTTCTCTCAGCCACCCACATAGCAGTGCAACTGTAAAGCAATAGGCCTGTAATATTAGGAAGTAGCTTTGTTGAAGAGTCTTGCTTATGCTCTGAAACTCAAAAACAAACTCATGGAAGGTTTCTTAGCCAGAAATGTCAGATAATTTCAGAGTTAAATAAGAGTGGCCTTAGTAAGTCAGACCAAAGATGCATCTAGTCCCCTGCATTGTCTACAACAGTGGCATTCCTTCTTTGCCAGAGGAAGATTAAGCAGAGGACAAGCATATCACAATGCTCCTGAGTATTTCTGCAGCTCAAACTTCCTGAGCTTGAAGTGGTATCCTGAAATGGAAAGCCATGAAAAATGAATTCAATGTATTGTTTTTGTATTTTATCAAATAATCTAATAACAATGGCTATATGATGATAGTAGCTGTTGCATAGAAGTTCTAGGTAGTGAGACAAAAATCCATTAATGTTTTAGAGGTCTAAAGGTTGTTGGGTTTTTTCATTTTAGAGGTGTAACATGTATATGGATTCTAGTCAGAGCCATGATCTGATTTCATGGTTGAGAGATCATGAGTTATAGCCCACTTGACTTGTTATTGCATTTGTCACTGTCTCAGAATAGGATATTCTTATCTGAATCTTAAGTTTCCACTTAGAACTTAAATGTGAAATTAATTGTGACATTCAGTTTATCTTTGCTTCATGCAAAACTCCCTTCACTGTCATACTCCAGGAAAGGATTTTTGTATATCTTTTGGATTAAACTTCAGTCCTTTGCAGACCTTGATAAGTGTAACTTTTGTACATGCTGCTTTCTCTTTGATAGTAGACTTCCTGTTTTTGAAAGAAAGGAACATATGTGCAATTTATGCAGAAACCTCATTGTTGTATTGCAGAATGGAACAACAGAAGAAGTTACATCAGAGGAGGAAGAAGAAGAAGATATGGGTGAAGTATGTGTATATGTGAGATTTGTTATCCTAATCTGGTAGAATTCTGGCATTTTGCTCTGCATTGGCTGGCTAATTATTAAGCCAAACTGTTGAACTCTAGTACTAAAGATTGTATTTTACAGAAAAGATAATTAAAATTTTGGACGTTTACCTTAATGTCAGCTTTCACTTCAACCCCCAAAACTACTGAAATTTTCTTCTTAAACCTAGATCTCAGCTGTGAGGTACTTGGATACAGAGAATTAGACATCTGTTTGTGCTTTGGTCAAACAATATATAACATTGTATGCCAAATCAGTAAGTTTGCATACTTAACTCCTATTTCAAGCAGCATATGAACCGGCTTTGATACAGTTGAAAGTGCCTCCCAAATTGAAGCAGGCTGGCTAAGAGTAAATAAGTTTGCTGATTTATTAAACAGGTGAGCTAGTTCTTAACTATAATACATGGAAGGAAATGGAAGGACATCCGAAACAGACATGCTAAACTTTAAGGGGTTTATATCACTGTCTGGCAACATGGTGCTCCTTTTAATAAGCTTTTTACTGTGTGAGAACCACCCCTTGCAATTTCTTCTACAACATGTTAGAATAGCTCAAAAGTGCTTGCTTTTTAAACCACTATAAATAGCCTTATTATAGGGGGAGTGTTCTGACTACTTCAGATTTAGATTTTTAATGAAGAAGGTGTGTAGTAAGAATGAATAACTCATTCTTTGAATAGAAGGTCTTCCTTCTTACTATTTCTTACTATGTAAGACATCTTTGAATTTGCATTTATGGCCAGGTTTTCCTGCCATGCAAACAGATGGTGCGTAAAGAGTAGCCACAGGTGTAGTGGAGCACTGCACATTGGAGCATATCTGACAGTTGTGTACTCACAGCTTGCTGGTGTGGCTGCTGTAGTGCTTCCTTTTTCATCTTGAGGTATTTGCATCCTTCTCCTCCTCTCCACAAATAGCACTTGAATTGCCTTACAGGCAGTGGTCTTAAGTTCAGAGTGCTCCTCTGCAACAGGGTAACCCCAACTCGGAATACAGAGTGAAAGATTTTTCAGTGTCTTAGTCTAGAACTCAGAACTGAAATGTTGGCTCGTGTGATCAGGATACCTGACCACATGATTTTATCTCATATCCTAATGCTGCATCTAATCTTCAGCTGAAATGTTCACCTTGAATAAAGTACATGTAGCTTTCGAATATTTAACTTTCTTGAAGGGTTGCTGTAGCCCTGCCAGATATGTTAATCATTGTTTGCCAGAAGTGTAATATAGCTAGGATTGTAATTGAAAAAAGAGTCTGCTTTTAGAAACATCTTGGAGACACCCTAACTTTTGGTACTTTTGGATTCTCAAGCCCTGTTCAAAATAGCTTAACTTCCCGTTTCCTACCTACTTTAATGGGCTAATTCACTACAATCTTAACTTCTTGCAGACGTTTTATTGCGCTTGTTTCTGTGACCAGAAACATGTTGTGAATTTGGGTCTTGTTTGTATTGTGAAGGCTCCCTACGCTTCCAGTGAATACTGTTGGCTGAGAGAGTAAAGTTAGAGCAAAATAGAAATAACATCCAACAATCACTAATACTTAGTGCTGTGCAGTATGTGACTGTATCCCTAAATGCCCTTGGAGATGGTTTTGTTGAACGAAGAGCATAGTTAAGTTATTTACAGTGAATTTTTCTCTATCCTGTAGGACATTGAAGATCTGGATCACTATGATATGAAGGAGGAGGAACCAGTTGATGGGAAGAAATCTGAGGATGAAGGCATTGAAAAAGAGAACCTTGCAATCTTAGAAAAGATCAGAAAAAATCAAAGGCAAGATCACTTAAATGTGAGTTAATGATTTCTGTTCTTTGCAATGTTTCTGGCCTTGAAATAGCAATGGTTTTCAGCCAATAAAGCCTACTGTTACGCACCTAGGCATAAATTAACCTGTAGCTGACTTCCAGCATATATAGGACAAATGTCTCAAGTTATGGGACCTAAATAGCTCTTTTTGGAGAAGTTTGAATAGGCCAGCTAGAATTCCAAGGTCATTTAGTAAATGTACTCATCTATTATCAAAATCTTTGGCACAGGAAGTTAGTTGTCAGTCCACATCCCACAGAAGCACAAAAACTACTTCAAAGCACTCTCATTCAGCCTGGGAGAATGCTATTACAGTTTCTTTTGTCTAACTGGGTTGGGGTGTTCTTGGCATTTTGGATGAAGAAGTATCTTTTAGCTTTTCACTAGAGTCAGCTCTTACATGTAAACCCAGGTTTCACGCTTCTTAATGATATCTAACTGGTCGTCTAATTTCCAGAGGTATCTATTTGGTTGTCCCTCTGTCTTTTGCTTGATGCCTTTGTTACAAACAATAGTCCTCCTTGCAGAATCAGCAGAAATCATCTAGGTTGTAAGCATGACTTTTGTTGCTGAGCCCTTATTAAAATAACAAATAAAGCCTTATATAAAACTGACTGCATTAAAAGTCATGGGTGACTTAACATGCTTAGTAAACCTAGGAATTTGTGCTTTAAATCCATTTTATGCATGAGTTTGTTTTTCAGTAATATCTATGCCATTTGGAAATTACTGAAGGGTGGGGGGTTTTTTTGCCAGACATAAAGCAAGGGGCCTTCAGCAGCTCTGCAGCTTTATTATCACAGTTTTCTGAGTGATCCTGCCAGCAGGCAGTTGTCAAAAAACTGTTTGTTCTCCTGAGGCTTAGAAATGTTTTGTCACAAGTGCCAAGTTCCAGAGAAGCTTCTACATCTTAAAGGTGCATGTAGGAAGGAACGATGGTGTCATACAACCTTAATTTTACTTAGCCTGGCTTCCAAAGAAATCAAACCTTTTGTTTCATCGAGGCTTAAAATGTGTAATGCATGAAATTCAATACTTCTGTTCATGACCAATTTCAACCAAAGGTAAGGGTTCTAAAATACTCATAAGTCACCTGTACAGAAAGAAGGTGCTTAAATTGGTGTCCTCTACTGTGTGAGCTCATAAGTTTTTATATGCTGTTTGGCAAGTCAGCAGACATGTAGATCATGTCCAGACACAAGATGTGCTATTTCTCATTAAGCTAATAGTTGAGGATGTGAGCAATAGTTACGTACAGGGGAGGGACCTGTAAGTATTTAGGGGAGGAATAAGATTCAGGATTGGTATGTAGGGAACACCTGGATTTTCACCCAAGGAGTCAGCTTTGTTCTAGTTCTTATACTTGGTGATTTTTCCAGTACATATTTTCTAAAAAGCCTAAATTGCACTTAAAAATTATATTAGATTCAAGAGAATTGCTGTTGTAAACCTCTTGTGATTTGTAGTGAGAGCTATATACATTCAAAGTGCTAGCACTAGCCAAAACAATCCACTTTAAATATTGGATGCACTCCTGATAGATCTAGTTATCATAAGAATTGAGGGAAAAGGTTCCTTTAGTTAGCAGGATCTTGACTATTTCTTGTCATGAATTACTGGCCCTAAATAACTTTATCTAGTTTAGAAAAAACCTTCTTTCTCTTTGTTACTGACACTTTAACACGGAAAGGAGATTCAGTTTGTAGCCATCTTCTTTGCAAAGGAAATAAAATAGAAATGCTTCTGTCAGAGTTCTTCAACTACAAGTCTTCTGTTCCTGTCCTAGTGCTGTTCTAATATGACTTGACTGCAAACCTGTCAAAAATACCTTAGACATATGTTCTGCTGAAGTAGGCAGCATGAGATAGGTGGCTAGAGGAGACTGCTCTTTGATTTGTGTATGAATTCAATAGTTACCTATCAGGTTGTCTGAAGGAAAGTGTACAGTAATGATCATGCCTTTAAAAAAAAAACAAACAAACCCCCCAAAACCCCAAAACAAACAAAGCCAAACCAAAAAAACCCCGAAACCTGATCAGCATTTCGGTATTTAAAAGCAGGTAAATGTAAGGTGCCAAACTGCTTTTGCTGTATCGTGAAGCCTGTTTTAAGACTTGACTAACCATAAAAACAGTGGTCACTTACTGGTATTGTTTAAACTTAACTGTTTGTTTAGAGTTTGAGAAGATGCCTATTGAGATTCTGTGTATTTCTGTATTTATAACTTGGACCTAATGGTAAAGACTCCTTAATTGTTAAATAAAATAAATCAATAAATCCTCTTGCAGCCTGAAATACATGGTCTACTTTACTGTAATCTAAAAATTTGGTAGAACTGAAAAAAGGTTTCTGTAGTGTCAACATCCTTCCTTGGTGTGGAAGGCCTCTTAAAACTGCAGATTTTCTTCTGCTGGCTGTTCTTTCCCATTTGGCAAATATTGCCTTTCCTTTTGCTTTTTCCCTTCACATCTAGCAGAGCTGAAATGAACACTGCTGGTTTTTTGTTTGACAACAGCAGATTCAGCTTATATAATAGCTGTTTCTCATGCCAAGACACTCTCGTTGATGCTGGTGCATAAACAAGGTCAGCTGAGTACAGGGAACAGGGTATTCAGCTGCTGCTGAGGAACCGTGGTATTTTTGTGGGTCACGAGAAATAGCTGTGCTGCTTAAGTAATTTCTCAAAGGACTTGCGAGAGTTTACTCTTAAGTGCTTGAGAGCTGAAAACTATAGCTGCACTACTGACCTAGGAAAGCGCTAACCTAGTAGCACTTAAATGCCCCTTTATGCTGCCAAAACATGGAACTGCTAACAGAACGTGTTAAATGTGCTCTAAGATCGCAGAAGTTTGCTCAGTACCGTAACATAAAGCAAAATTTAAATCTGTACAGCCCTTCACAGTGGGTTTTCTTAAAGGACAGTATGAGTTTCACAAACTTCAATGTAGTGGCTAAGCATAGTCTGGTTTTCACACAAACTACACAGTTCTTTTGGTATACTTTGTTTCCTCAGCAGAGGAAAGTAAAACAAAGCCATGCCATTTATGTGCTTTTTGTTGGAAGAGGGAACGTGAAGCCTAATGTAGGGCTTTGACTAGTGCCCAGTGCAACCAGAAGACGCTTCAGTTTCTTTACATGTACTTTGGCCCAAATCCATGGGTCATCCTCTCTCCCTTTGGCTGATCTGCACGTTGAAGTTGTGGATCGTGCTGAAAGTTTTTCCATAAGAAAGGAGTGCATGCAGTCCCATTCTCGCCTATTCTTAACAGGTTAAAGACATCTTCCTGCTGCTCAAGACTTTTGTCATGGGAGTTTTTAGGGTTTGTGTGTTTTATACAAGTTAAGAGTACATATCTACTAATTTTGTAAACTAGCTCTCTTCCTCAGCAGTATCCCTAATCCTATTCTTCTTGCCAGCATCAGGAAATAAACTTAAATTTGGCTTGTGGTACGGTATGTAACTTGGAGCAAGAATTAATCTCCCTCTTAACATTGTAATAACTTTAAAGAACCACTTGCTTACTGGGAATAAAAAAAGGTCTTTGAACTGGAATCATTAACTTCAAATATTTAACAACTTGCTGCTGCTTGCTTTTCGCAGGTCTCTTCCCACATAGTCATTTTAGAGATTAATGCTTTTCTTATTTAGATAATGCTATTAGCTTTTTCCATTTCCTACTGAGGCGTTTATGCACCATCCTTCAGATGTCTCAAATGTCTCCACTTTGATCTTCAGATTTTCTGAAGTTTAAGGTGTCATTTCCATTTTCAGTCTAATTCTTGAAGTAAGTATGAATCTACTTGAACTTCCAGGAATGAATGTACTTCTGCACAAATACTGAGAAAGTTCAGTGACAATAGAGCAAACTTGTAATCTTTAGCACTTTTGGGGTCACTTTAGATTTTATTTTATTATCTTGGAGAAGTTTCCAATTTTTGTGTTTTGTTTTAACAGGTAATTTTCACTCTTGTGGCCGAATTATCTGAAATGTATTGTGAGTGAGGTGATTTACTGTACTGTTCTGATGTGTGATGCTATTTTTCTGATCAGACAGAAAATGGGCGGTCTGGTCTTTGGATTTAAAACTGCAGTGAACTGCACCTCCTACCTCAGATAACTCATTTAAGGAGCAGACTGTGGTTGTGTTTTGAGGTCTGGAAGGGGAAAAGAAAATATCCAAAGGAGAAAAGCTGAGGCTGCAAAACCTCATATCTGGAGACTCAGTGCAGCAGACAGCTAGGGCAGTGGCATGTGCTGTGCTGATTTCTGCACGGTTAGGTGTGCCCTGCCAACTTGCAAATGCAGAAGTTCTGAAGACCTCGTTTTCTAAGTTTTCTTAGAAGTTGCTTAACTGTTCTGTAAAGTATTTTACTCAAATTTATATTTTCACACTAAAATACTAATTAAGGATAGAAACACTTCTGAAAAATATAATGCCTACACTAACTTGGACCAAAGTTTCGTGTTTCTGATAGTGGCAGAAGCACATCCTTAAGGGGAAGAGTTTGAGAACAGGACAGTCTTGTAGTGATGCATCTCATGAATATTTTTCATGTCCAACACTTCTGGCTCTGGGAATTCCTGCACCAGGCGTTTCTGTTATTTGCCGAGTTGCAAATGACATGTTGCCCACATAAATGTTTACCTCCTGTAGCAGGGATTTCTCCAGCTTACCTGCTTGTCATTCTGGAGAACCACGAGTATATGCTTGTAAAGGAGAGGATGATCAAGTGAGACTTTTTGTGCCTATTTGATTACTTAATAGGAAAAAAGTCACTTGGGGCTGGTCTGGCAGATCTTAACTTCTTCAGTTTACAGATCAAATATCTATGCCTTTCTGCTCTTGGCATCAACCCCATATGACAGATATCTGTCAGATCCCATGATTGACTAGTTATTTCTAAGGCAGTTGCGACTATAAGTCTTGATCTCACAACTGGAGAAATAGGAGCTTTATCTCCCTTGGAGTGGTAAGTCCTACTTTTCCAGAAGGATACTCAGTTATTTATATCTGCATTCAGTCTTTGAAATTATAACTTGCATATAGTGAGTTACTGAAAGTTAAAAGTTTTTAATTTTAGTGCCATTACAGTCAAAACTGAACTCACTGCTCTACTATATCATGCAATGGTGTGATGGAAGTAGTGCTGTCTTCTAAACTGCACTTTAACAGTAGTGACAAAAACCCCAAAGTGACACCAGACTGAAGACTGTGTTTCAAAGCAGTAGTGTTTGGCATTAAGGTTACCATCAGGTATAGCAGTTAATCTCTGCAGGCTTCTCTTCAACTTCCTCCAAGGGTATTTCAGAACATGTAAAGGAAGCTCCTGTGCTAAACTTCTTAGGTTAAGCTTGCTAGCCCCTTTCTCTTGATCACAGATTACTGGTTTGCAGTCTATTGATTCTCTAGAGTAGCAAATCTAACTATATTTAATACTGCTGTATAAGGAGTGGGCAGCTCAACTAGAAACTCCTAGGAAAAAAGGGTGAAGAACACTGTTGTAGACAAAGTCTACTGAGGCTAGCTTACACACACTAAAATTAACCTTTCTTCTTTTTAAATACCACTTCAGTTTATCAGCAGTTACAATGGCACTCAGGAGTATGTGGGTGTGTTAAAATTTGGTTTTTAAATTACTACAGTGCAGAGGATACTTAAATTTTCATATGCAAAGGTGAGTTTCCAACATTATGTACAGAAATTCAGTGGCTTAATTTGATGGAAATAAAGATGCAATGAGGAAACTAGTTTTTCACAGGATGTCTTTGAGAACCTAAGTCATTTTTAAATTGCCTGTATTTAGAGGTTGATATTCTGTGAAAAATGTAAGAAAATTCCTTCCTTCGGTAAGCAATACAGCAGATGAGGCAAGGATGTTGCACAGCTCTGCACAGAAGAAAGCCAAAATCTTGACACTTCTCCACGAAGTTTCTTTCCTCCAGACTCAACACATTCATGAGCCTCAACCTTAATGCTCACAGTAGAGGTCTGACTGCACAGCAATTTTAGAGAATGGTGGTTAACGTTGTGTTGTGTTAACTTGTGAAGTTTAATGCTTCCTTTTTCAGCTAATTTGCAAATAGGGGGTATAAATAGTAGTAATCTGCAAATAATGTATATAAACAACCATTTTTTTTTCCATAAAACTTCATTCACTTGCTGTTAAAGGAAGAGAAATCCCTTCTTTGTCTGATACTGCTCTATGGGCAGGTGCTTTAGTAAACTGAGAAATCACTTGTCTGGAGCCCTGTCTTTATGTAGCTTTTGTTTAGTCAGATGAAAGGAGTTGCCTTTTATTTGCATATTTAATTACGAAGTTCATTCCTCATACTGGTCCGTTAAGAAAAACTAGTGGAATTTTGGTAATCTGCATAATTAAATCCAGTGGAATATGAAAATGAATAGCCTAAAAGAATAGTCTACACATTATAGCATGAAGCTCAGCATATTATATGATGCTACTGAACAGAGAAGACAAAGGAGTATGTGGAGGCTTTAGCATCAAGTAACTATTGCTGATATTTAATCCTTTTTAAGAAATAATTTGATCCTACAGTTAAGATCTTGTAGAATACATAATATCAATGCTGACTTCAGGCTAACAGGGATGACATTTCAAGTATTAGACGATGGTCATAGCTGCTTCAGATTCCTCCAGAGATAATTCGCTGACACTTCTGTCGAAAAAGGATCTGTTTGTACATGTTCATAGTGTCTGAAAGGAAACTGAAGAAACAAATCTCTTCACATTTTTAGATGGAGCAGAAAAACAGACCCATAAACTAATCATTCAGTACTTCATGTAGGAGGCTGAACTTAACTTTATTCTAGGTGGGGGCTTTTTTTGTGTTTGGTGCTGGGTTTTGGTTTTTTTTTTCTGGGTTGTTTTTTTTTTTCTGAGTAATACAGAACTGAGCTCTCTGCCCTGGTTGCATAAACCACAAGAACTATGACAAATCACGACAAATTATTAGGTATTTTAAGGCTTGCTTACCTCAGTCTTCCTCTGTGTAGGTGTTCTGGTGTTCTATAGTGGATACTTCCCAACTCCTGTAGTTTTTTTCATAACCAAATAAAAATATACTTCTGAGAAAATAGCAGAACCTTATGTGTGGAAGCTTGTTCTTAGGATTATTCTTACTCTTCCTTCCAGTGCATAAAAGCAGAAGGTAAAAGGAAATATTTCCCTATTAGAAATGTAGTGTGGATCCATCCTGGAAATCAAAATGCCAAAGAGATTAAACTCCTTTACAGAAAAATGTCTGTTGTACCTTGATTAAAAGCTTGTATCACCTATACTAAGTAGTAGTATATGTTGGTATGCTGCTTTAGAGGGAGTGTCTCATTTCTTTTGAGTAGTCTTTGCTGACTAGAATGTGTAACTTTCTAAAAACCTAGTCCTAATACAGAAATTAATATGCTCTTAATACCTTCTAGTTAGTGTAACTTTGTAATGGAAATAAAGCTGTCTGATGTAAATATTACTTTTCACTTATTTGGAGTCTTTTTTTGTTTGTTTCAGGGTGCAGTCTCTGGGTCAGTTCAGGCTTCAGATCGACTTATGAAAGAACTCAGGGATATATATAGATCACAGAGTTATAAAACAGGTAAAATGCTTCAGATTTCCCTTCTTAAAATACACTTTAAAAGAATTCTCTTGGCAAATACTTCCTGCTAATCCTTCTGTGTTTTCTTGTCATATGTATGTATATATGTGTGTATATGTGTGCACACATGTATGGAAATAAAAATACATAGATACACTATTTTATACAATGAGATTATATATAATGTATGTATTTGAGGAGGAAAAGGTAGTCAGCATACATAGCCTCTAAAATGTTCTTCCTTTTTGTTACGTAAAGCTTCATACAAGAGTTAACAGGATTGGTGTAACTATGAGAATGCTCTTGGGGTGGATGACTACAAAGAACAACTCAAGATTACTCCTGTGGGACTTCTTGAGTTTTCAGAACTACCTAAAATTCAGCTCTCCAGGTATATAGAGCAAAAGCTTTGACTACTACCAGTGGGTAGTACTGCTCACAAGAATATACTTGCCGTAGAGGGATTTGTGTTCAACAGCAGAAGGTTTTGTTATTATACAGGATTTAACCTTAATTACACTGCTGTTACTTTTATTATTTTGTGATGGTGTTAATCTGATCCTGAGCTCCACGTATTCCTTGGAATAAGGATACAAATGACAATAGAAAACAAGCTTGTCTTTTAAATTTGTTTGAATAATGAACACTGATTAGCTTTAGGTACGTAGGTGGTTGGCTGTTCTATTTGCTCCATATAAGGGCTGTATCTAAACTAGCTCAGCAAAGGAGTCAGTATATTGAATTGTCTGAGCATTACCATACAAGAAGTAGAAATTGCATAGATTTCAGCCAAGTTGTATTCCTGTAGGTCAGCCAAGTAGACAAACTCCATCACTGCAGCCAGGTATGAGAACCTGGTGCAGGCCAGGATGGGAACAGGAGGAATGCCCGATTAGAAAGTCAGTCTGAACTTTAATGCTCTGTCTTTTCTGAACTTCTCCCCTAGTTTTTCTAGTGGGCTTAAATCTCACTTGGTGGCTATGGCATTTTAATTTGTCTGTGAAAACACAGAGTTGAAGAGCCAGTAGGCTCCTGTTTTGATTTGCCATATTTACCCTTTAGGTAAATAGTTTTATCTGCTGAAGTACTGTGGGCAGTGGTAAAATGTCTGAAGTATAAGTTTGATTAGGTAACCTAGTCTTGATCTAATGTAGCCTACTCCTTTTAGGCTTTATTGCAGCTGAGTGCTTGCCAGTATGCCTTAATTGCTATCTATCCAGTAAAGAATGGATTAGTGGGTCTAAGGAAGAACCTAGAAATAGATCTGTATTAAGTCATGAGGGATGCTTTACTGACCATGTATGATCTTCAGGGTTTGTTTTTGTGGTTAGAACAAAGATTGGGTATAACAAATCTACTTGACTATAAAGACTGTGTGGTGCTTAATCGCATAGTGGTACTGCTGGAGGCACAACCAGGGGCCCCCATAATAGGTGTAGTTTGAGGTGAGGGTTTGGGTTGCTTAATAATGCCATTTCTTTGCTTTAGATTAGTAACAAGTCTTAACTAGTTGCAAAAAACTGAACTTCTGATGTAGGAAAGCATACTTTAAATGATGAGGAAAAGTAAATATTGCTGAACTGTAAAGAAAGTTGGGATACTGGAGGGAGTATAGTAACTTAGCATTTATTAGCTTATGACTCAGGAATGTGTAAAAAGACTGCAACTGGATGCCTTGTGTCAGTCTGTAAAACACGTTAATGAAGTGTCAAGTGGAGGTTGACACTATAAAACTGATGGCAATCCTGCTTTGAAACACTGTCCTACTGATCCATTTATTAAATTTTGCCAGTAAATTATGCTGTTTGTTTTAAAACTTCCTAGATTCATTTCTTATGGCTTCATTTAGTCTTAGAACTTGAGTGAATTTAGGTATTCTTTACACAAAACTCCTGCTTTTATAGCCCACTTCTGTCTTTTGTTGTTAGATAATTGTCACCATGTGAGCAGGGGCATGGGAGATAATTGACTTTTTTTTATGTGATCTTTGTTCTGAGTACTTGCTTCCATGGTCCATTTTTCTCTTAATTGAATTTCTTACTATTAACACACAAAGGGAACCATTGTGAAACTTAAAGGTTCTAGTAACTGTTGCAAGGTAATTTAAAACTGCTTTAATTTTTTATCATGTAAGCCAGAAAATCTAACGCTGCTTTTTAGTTGCATCAGAATCACTTTATTTAGTGTACGTGAGGTTACATGTTTTCAGGATTGACAACAGGACAGCACTGGGACTTCTGAAGTGAATAATACTTGTAGTAACAGTCCTTTAATGTTTTTTCCTTTCTGTTAAACTGTTTTATAAAAAAAGTAGCATTAAAAACAGTCAGAACTTCAACTATGGGTGTATATTCAAGGTAGTATCCATTTGAGAACTGAAGTTCCTTTAGTGATTGAAATACTACTGTTGGAATTCAAGCAAAAGATGACTACAAGCTTGCTGTCAACAGGAAAGTTGCTTACCTACCTGGAAAATCTAGGTGAAGAACTACCCTTAAAAACAAACAGAAAACTGTTTTCTTATGAGCCAACAGAAGCAAAAAATATTCCAGCAAAGTAAGATATTGTACTATAAATTAGACAGAGTTTCATTAACGCGTTTTGGCAATAGGAGTCACAAGTCCTCCAAACAAAGGTGATCTCATTTCCAAATACAAGGTTGGGGATTTAGCTAGTTCGTATGGAAGAATCCACAAAGGTCTTAACATAATTTGGGGGGGGTAGAGAGGGAGGGGGAGGGAGGAACAAAGAATTTGGGGATATTAAATGAAATCTTTTCTGTTCGTATCTTTAGTGGCTGTGTTGTTCATGTATAGTGACTTCAACTCACTGATTTTATCGAAAGACTGTATGGGATTTACTTCTAGTTGTAGTAAAGTTGCTATAAGTAAGACATTGCCTCTATTTTAGAAGGGGTTGTTTTTCTTCCTACCTTTTCATCTCTTAATTTTTTGCTTGCTTTATGTTTCTGTGTACTTGCTTTTACTTCATCTTAGAGGAATAAAACAAAAAACTACCTGTGATGAAGTGAGGGCAGCCTACCTTGATTCCCTTCCCTACCTTAAGGACCTCTCAGAAACTGGTACTAATCAGACAAATGCTTCTTGACAGTAATTTTTTTCCTCTTGCTGCCTAAATTAAGAAAAAAGCGTATGAGCTGGTTCCAAATAACACCTCTTGAGTATTAAAAAAACCCAAACAAAACCCCTCTCAACTTTGGTTAGTGTTGTTAAGAAGCTTCTGTATCAAGAAAGTGAGCAACCCTGATGCTGCTGTTGTTCATGAGGACATACAGATACTATTCGGCTCAAAGTCTGGGTGCTTGAAAGGTTGATTAAGTAGCTTGCTGTTCTGTTAAGGCACATTCTTGTCAGTTCTGAACTGTGCGCATCTCTCTGAAGAACCCTTTTACAACTTTAGGTAAAAGCGTTTAGGTACAGTACAGCTTTTAAGACCAGGAAAAGTTATTCCTTCAGGGAAGCTAGCAAAACATGTGGACCTTGGTAACCTGTGGAGCTGAAGGGCTGGTACATGAATTCTGGGTAAAAGCAGGACTTTTAGGGTGGTGGAAGGAACACAGGAATAGGGCTAGAGGCGTAGTGAATAAACAAGCTGATGGCAGTTCTCTTGTGATCTTCCATTATTTAGGATATTGTCAGAATCCTTACTGTAACTTGTTCTGTTGTCTGCAACAAGTGTTTTACGCTCGTGCTAGGTGCCAAAGCCATAATACTGAGAGGCTGCTTCTTCCAGTCTTCACTCCCTTTTGCATGTAGGTAGAAGAAAATATTCTGGATACAACATTGGAATAGGTAAATCATTAATGGGAGCTGACAATGAGCAGAGTTCTGAATGTCAACTCTGTTGTTACACCGGAGCAGTACAAATTGAAATTCTTATGCTTCGTGACTTCCAGTTACACTAAGGGCAATTCAGAAAATAGTGTCCTTGGATCTGGGAAATTGAAAAAAGGCCTTAATAGCTCATTCTGTTCATCCTCAAATGGAAAAGTGTGGCGTCTCTGAACTAGCTGCGGATTAAAAGGGACATTGAGAGCACAGTAAGTCAGACCTGTTTTGTTGTCTTAGACTTAGGAAAAATTTGAAATCATGATCTTGGCTGCAGTACCCACTTGTTTGTGGCACTGCGGTAAGGAAAAACAAGCATGGTTTCTTTACCTTGTTTACTGAGTTTTGGAATGCTTGAGAAATAAAGGTGTCTGGACAGCTTGAAACGTGATCTGTACTCCAAAGTGCTAATGCTGAGGTGTTTTAACTGCAAGATAATGTATTCTAAAATAATAAAACTCAGAAATGAATACTGTAATTCCTTGGAGAGCATGTGGTGACTGCAGTCTGTTGGTTGTATAGCCTTCAGAAATCCTAGGCAGATTCCCGATTTGCATAGGTCTTCCAAATATTTACGTCAGCAACAGATAGGCTGTTAAATATTAGCCCAGGTAACAAGTTTAATCGTTGTTTAGTGTATATACTTGAATAGTCTGTGGCGGAAGAGATTAGATGAGTATCACTGATACCATTTTCTAAATCTTGTCTGATGGTTAAAGATTATTCCTTTTTCCTGGGTTGCTTGTGACCTTCTGCAGAGATGAAGCTTGAAAATACAAGAAAATGGCAGATAAGCTTTCATCCTTCCTGTTGAGTGAAATGCATAACTATTGTTTAATATGCTTAAAACAAATGGACCACTGAAAATCACCAGCTGGCTTCCAGAGGCAGCTATTTTTTGATGCATCTTTCTGACTTCTTTGGTCAGCTGTTGGGAATGTGCTTCATCCAATGCAGTGTCTTCTTTTTTTGGGTTTCTACTCCATAGACCGTCCAGTGTCCTGTTGTGGTTTGCCAGTACTGATGAGAACCTGTGAAATACAATGCTGCATACTCAGACTGTGTGTTAAGCGTTTTAAAAGTGTGTTGGTCACGTACTGGGTATAAAATATACCGAGTACTAAGCAAGCTGGAGTTGTAGTTGTGCGAGGTTTGAAGGGGAACTGGGAGGGGGGAAATGGTTAGATGTCAGAAAAACATTTTGATTTGTGTGGAATTTTTTTATAGAAGTGAAAGAACTTTTTTTCCTTATAGTTGCTCAGAAGTGCTTCTGCTATTGGAGGAAGGATGTGCCTCAGTATCAGTATCTCAGCACCTTATCTATTGCTTACATCTACTGACAGTATTTGTACTTAAAAGCAAAGAATGTTTTTGCTAAATTTTACCTTGTTAAACTTTTAGTGCTTAATTAATTCTGTCTAATTTCTACAGGGATATATTCAGTGGAACTGGTAAATGACAGCTTGTATGAATGGCATGTTAAGCTTCTAAAGTAAGTTATTAAAGTTTTTTTTCATGTTCTGAAGAATCCATTTTATTATTGTTGCAGAGATTCTTACTTTTGATAAATGAGGATCTCTAGCCAGACATACAAAATAGTGTGTGGTGGCTACAATTCTGGTATACAGAAATGTGTACAGAGATTGAACTGTAGTAATTGAACTGGCAAAAAACCCAAACCATCTTTGCACAACCATCACAGTGTGTATCACTGTAACTTTCATTACTGTTCAATTCTCTTTCCAAAACTACTCCAAAATATGAAACCTTAAATGATGAATTTTTTTGTCTAGCGTTTTTGTCTGGATGGTTTTAGTTTGGTTTTGTTTGTTCTTAATTTCAAGAAAATGTAACTTCTCATTTCATTCAAGACATAAGAAGGAACAGAACTGTGTTGGTGTCATTAGTTATTTCTACAGTTGAGCAGACACATAGGACTGAAACTTTTAGGTATAACACAAGTATGACTTACATAATTATATAACTTGTTGTCTTATGTACTGCTTTTCACTATGTGTACTAGCTGATAACTCATCTTGTTGTGTCCATAATCCAATAACTTGAATTCTAGAGGTATTATATTGAAATTATTCCTGGTAACGGGATCATCTGCCATCATCCTACAGGATAACCTGTAGGATAACCTACATGATAACCTGTAGGAAGGAAAAGCCTATCCAAACTAGGCTGGGTAGCTGCAAAAGATGGCAAGAGATTGAAGAACTTCCATCAGTTCAGATATGTCGTGGTGAATAAATATAAGGACGTAAACCGTTTCAGCACAGTATGTGCTGCCCGTAGGAATTGTTGCCTTGTCCTAGTGGTAAGACTTGTATGACTATGTCACCAGCTGCTGAAATACAGTTTTGTTTCCTTCTTAGTGTAATCATAGGCATGTGAACGTTTGGAAGCTGAAAATGGCAGGAATGACGTGTGTCAGAAAAATCTGTGCCATATTACAGGAGGCCTTGTCTATCGAGCGCTTCTGTAACAAAGTGCTCAATCCACTGTGCAGTGATTTGAAACCTCTTTGCAAGTGCTGTGAACAGGTCTGATTTTCTGCCTTCAAGAAAGAGAAAATGGAGTGCATGCAGCAAATGGCTTCCAGAATGCCTAAGAGAAGATAAGAAGTATTGTGTTTGTTTATCCCAGCAAAAAGTGTCTGAAAACAAATGAACTGTGTGCAGACTAGTTGAGGGGGTAAATGTCAGAGAGGAAAGAGCCCATTTGCCTAAGGAACAGTATTGTTACTAGAACAAATAACTCTGAACTGGCCTAGTACAAGCTAGGCTGGGAAAGATAGGTTTCTAAGCATTGGGAGATTTTCTTCTGAAACAGCTTCCTGTTGGTAGGATGGGGACAAGCTACCCAAGTAATTCTGAAATGAGATCTAATAAGTTTGTGGTTTCACCTGTAGCAGAGGATTGGATTTAATAGCCCATCATTTTGTTTAACACCTGCATTTGGCTTGCTGCAGGCATTTTTTGACTAGTCTTTTAAAAAAAGCTGCTGGGGTGTCAGAGCCTGGGTGGGATTAACCCAGTAGTGTCTGAATTAACATCTAGGCTGCTCACCACCGGCATTTTGCAACAAACAACGGTTGAAATTCTGCTGAGCAGAAGCTGCTGGCTTTAGTGCTTCTGCTGATGCAGATTACTTTTAACAGCTGATACAGAACTGTGACCACATACTCCATAAAGGATTCGCTAACTATGTACTGAAAACTAGATCACTACTGTCTTCCTGTTAAAATCCTGCCTGTCATTCCCGCCCCTGTCCCCCCGCCCCCACCTCGGGACATACATTTCCAGTGAACTGAAGAGAATTAAAATTGCTGTTTTCAAATAAACAGGTTATTTTGTGCTAACTATGTTCAAATAACACTTCGGAATAGCATTCGGAATGTAGTGCATTACAGTAAGCTTCCATGCTGATCTCATGGCAAAGTGTTTACTTTGTAGAGGGAGCAAGAGTTTTCTACAGTTCACTCCAAATTACAGTTTGTAAACTGCAAATACATAAAGGAGCTCTTTAAGAGTAATTACTATTTACAGGCAGTGAAAATAATAACTTCATCCAGGATCTCTCCCCTGCTTCTTTTATAGAGTTGATCCTGATAGCCCACTGCATAGTGATCTTCAGGTCTTAAAAGAAAAAGAAGGTGTAGAATACATTTTACTCAACTTCTCTTTTAAGGTATGTGTCTCTGGGAAGAAATGCTGGGGTTAAGTTTGCTGCTGGGGTTAAGTTTGCTGCTTACTGTAGAAAGTGACTGAAATGACCCTCAACTGTTACTTGGGTAAAGATGGAGGTGTAGCATAAAAGAAAAAACTTTAAGTGTGGCACTAAAGCTTCCCAAAGATTGCTTTTTAGCCAGTGCTGTGGAAGCGTAACTTTTACAGAACTGAAAAATGTTACTGCTTTAAATTGGATTTGCCAAATAAGGCTATTGAAATACTTCCTGGTTAGGAAAGCACTGTCACGGTATAGTTCTTAACCTGTTTTTTGTTATGCTTTTCAGGATAACTTCCCTTTTGATCCTCCCTTTGTGCGAGTGGTATCTCCTGTGCTCACAGGAGGGTAGGTTTGAGTTGCTTTGCAGAAATTTTACTTTGTGGTGAAAATGTTACAACTTGAGATTGGTTGACTGCGTTTGCAGGGAACATTTTGAGACTACCATGTATGTAGACTTCAAGAAATTTCCCCTAAATGTATATTTATGAGCTGCTGTAGACCTTGAGTTTGGTGAATAGCTCAAAGTGTGATATGGAGACTTGCTTCTTAAGCTTCATGAACTAATAGGAGCCAAACAGCTGGGTGTATATTCCAGCCAGGTGCAATTCCTCTTCAAATTGCTTAGTTTGTGTCTAGCTTTGAAAGACTCCGTGCCTGCCATAATGTTTAAGAATTGGCCTCTTTGTGCATGGTTAACATTGCTGTTACTTCTCTTGTTGTTCAGAATAGTAGGGTGTTTTGAGTTAGTGCTTTGACAGGGTCTTGATCCCTGTGATGCCTTAAACTTGCAGTGTGGTCTTAGCTGACCCTCTTTTGCTAGTAACACTGGCATAAAGTTTTTGTCTAAAATCTGATCAAATGATAATCCAAAGGTACTAAATTTAACTGACACCATGCTCCAAAAGTTATCTAAAACATGTTTGAAGTGCTATCTGTGGAGTGGAAACTTGTGTATATCCATGGAGAGAAGATTAAATTCACCTCCCAAGGCTTTTATGCATCTCCTGCTGACGGAAAATTATACCTGTACATTTGAAAATGCAGTCTGTGATAGCTGGTGCTGATTCTGATTTGGTTTTAATTGCTATGTGTCTTTTTTGCATTCAAGAAATGGTTAGTGCAGTTAAATAGTGTTCAGGAGGGTTGCTGGTACCAAAAAAGTAAACAAGCAGTGCCAGACACCAGAAAACTCATTTGGATTCTGGTTTTATTGTACTTGGACTTCTTTGTAGAATGAAAGAAAGAATGGCCCAGGAGGTTTGGATTTCAGTGATTGTTTCCCTATGAATGTCATACAGATCTAAGTTGTTTGAACATGCTGATCATAGGGGAGACTACGTTTTTGGAGTGGTAAATTCTACTCCCTCAGTCCAGGTTTTGTGATGACCAGGCGTGCTGACTGCTGAGTCTCAGTCAGCACAATGCATGATGAAGTGTTATTGAAATTAGAAAGTGGTTTATAGGAAAAGAACAAGTGAAGATCTGCTTTATGTTATTTGTCTTCAACTTCGATTTATAGGTGCACCTGCATTATTTGGAATTGTGTTAAATTTCTTTACAGAAGTGAATTTTTCTTTTTATAACTGTACATCAGTACCACATATACACAGTGTAGCCATAAAAAGCAGCCTTCCTTTTTTCATGGTCTGTGTACATTTCTGTAAGCAGTTTTGCAGACTAGGTCAGTCACTGATTTTAAGTTAGTGTAGTTAGCAAAGGAAATTTGGGCAGGTGGGTGTCTAACAGTGCTAATGTTCTTTGCATAAGTATAATATGGCTAACTAGTTACAATATTTTATTGGTTAAAGGGCATTTCAGCTTTATGTGAATAAAAAATTTAAGAAACTAACCTGCAAGAGCTTTAAAGTGCTGTGAACAGTTTCATCTTTTTACTAACTGCTGATGTCAAATAATATTTTCTTTCACCTTTGTTTCTAGGTATGTCCTAGGTGGAGGTGCATTATGCATGGAACTTCTTACGAAACAGGTGAACACAGACTCTGTTATCTGTTATGCTAATAACAAAGCATGCTTTAAAGTAATGAAAATAGGTGTTTCCCCTGGGTTGAAGAATCCCTGTGTGGAATAAATTACATGCTCCGAAGGGAACGTGGTGGAATAAACCTCAATTTTGCAAGATTTGCCTTGCTGATCTTGGGTAAGATCATCTTTTCTGCCTTGGATGGCTTACAAGAGGTCTGAGGAAGAGGCAAGAAGTGAGAGCGTGTCAACTTTGAATTCTCAGAATTTCTGGGGGGAAGCCAGCGTAAAGAGTGAATTCTGAGGAGCAAGGCACATTGTTTTCTTTTCCAGAAGCCTCTGCTACTGCACCAAGTCAGCTCTGGAGAAGTGAAGAATGCAGAAGATTCTAGGCATAGATGACTATTGTGTAGACAGTGTGATCAGTTTTCTCTTTAACATAAGTAAATGAATGAAGTAACTTATTTGCAGGCTCTTGCAGAAACTTTTGTGAACCCTGGAAGGTAAAGCAATGTCAGAGAGAAGCAGTAATTTTCATGGGAGCAAAATTGTCATAGCTCACTCAATGGCTTCATTAGATAGCAGTCTTTTCTGCTTCTTACAACAAGAAGTTGTAATTTCTGTTGTGACGTTGCTGAAAATGTGTAAATGGTGTAATAATGGAGCTGCTCTTGTTTCTGCCTTGCTGTATTTTGCAAATGTGAGATTCAGCCTTTTCATTTTTCCTACAGGTTCTTAGTACTAATACTGTATATCACTTTCCAGATTTTCTCTGGAAAATAAAAGTTGTTAACAGAAAACAAGTAGTTAAAACTAAAACTGGAATGCAGGGGAAACACAAAAACAAATCCCAAAGCACACATCTCAAAACAGATTTGCAAGGTGAGCCCAAGAAGCAAGTACATGTTACGTAGTAGTATTTCCTTCCTCCTCCAGGGCTGGAGCAGTGCCTATTCAATAGAATCGGTCATCATGCAGATCAATGCCACTTTAGTCAAAGGAAAAGCCAGAGTACAGTTTGGAGCCAATAAGGTAAATGTGCTGGGTATATCAATTACACAAATTACTGTTAGGCTTTCATTTCTTTGCTGACCTGCATAGGGGATGGTTAGTGACAGAACTGTCATTGCAAATACATTTGCATTTTGATTTATCTTGATGTCTTGTGCATGTATGAGCATTTTATTGGCAGTTAACTATGAGTTTATTAAGAAATGATGAATGTATGAGGAGGATAAAATCTTGGGATGGGCAGGGTGTGTAAGTAGTTGGACTCGTACTATCCCCATATTGGCAAGGGGTGGGGGGAGGGAGGAAAGAGGATTCAGAATAGGGAGGATTTGGAAATTGCAGCTCTGAGAAGGGCTGTAGATGGCAGCCTGCCTGCCAGGATCACATACACTGATGTTAAGAAGTTCTCCTTTTGCCGGACTAGACACCTGCAAAGTTTCGTGAGAAGGTGAAAAATAATACCATGCAAATACTTCTGATATGGCTAATGGCTAATAGCCATTCAGCATTAATCGAAATCATAATTCAGTTCAAGTGTGCGTGCTGGGAATGGACCATAACTTAAAAGACTTTGAAGTACTAAATGCTGTTTTCAAAGGTTGTTTAAATATTTAAGTCAATGAAATTGTCACTTGGATGCCAGTTTTTAAGTACTAATTCAAGGATAATGAACTAGGTAAGATGTGAAAGTTTATGATGACAATTCTGTCTAACCTGGTAACTGGTCTGCTGAGCAAGACAGAGTTATGGTGGGGATTGCCTGAAGCCTGCCCTTCTGTTTACACGCACTTCTGACTCACCTTAGGTTCTGAACCCTCGAAGAGAGGGGCCTATCCAGCAGCAGGGCCATGCAAATTATTGTCATTATGATGGAGGAGAAATGAGAAAATAAGGGCGTTTGTCTTGAAAATCTTGTACTTCAAAGCCAGGAATACTGTAACATTGTGCATGGTTTTTATTTGTAAGCCCACTGTAGAGTTTCTTTGTAAAACAGTTTTAAAGTTCCACGCGTCTAGATGCAGGTTTTTTATGTAAGTTTTTTTCTCCTTTCAGAATCAATATAATCTAGCAAGAGCACAGCAGTCCTATAAGTCACTAGTACAAATACATGAGAAAAATGGTATGTATATTCTTGCGACTTTGTTCTTGTCTGCACAGCAACCTGGGAATTGGTATTTGGCCGCAGTAAAACTTGAAGTGCCAGAGTGTCTTATGTTGGCTTGGGAAGACCATGAATGGCATTTTCCTTTTTCCTTTTTCTCATCTTGCACTAGGAAGACAATAGTGCTTAAAGTAACTTGACTAACAATCATTGCAACTTTTCCAGCTTACATGAACATTGGGATGTTCTGTGTGTTGAAAGGTAGTTAAAGTTCATTTTCAGCCAGTTTATCTAGTAACTTTATTGTTACTGTAACTTTTAAAGTGTGGTATTTGTTAGGGAAGTACCTGCTGGAAGTTTGCCCACCCCCTCACCCCCACAAGGGTTTGTTTCAATGTGGCAAGACCTTAGTAGTAGCAATCATTAAGGAAGAGATAAAGTGGAAAGAAAGACCAGAGACTTAAAAAAAAACCCAAACAAACAAAACACCAAGAGAAAAAAAAAAAAAAAACCCCAAAAGTCCAAGTGAAGTACGCTGACTGGAAGACTGTGCAATAGAAATGGGAGATGTGTTTGGGTGTGTTTGGTTTTTTTTCTTTTTACCCTATTTAAAGCCAGTTAATTGTATCTCAGCTGCATAAAACAAGTATTCAAGTGCTTCAGGTATAACTGCATTCATTGAGCCAGGATGAGAACACAACAAATGACCTGAGGCTTTAAAAGGTTTAAGTGGCTTACATGTTATGTAAAAGTAGTCAGCAGAATTGGTACCCTGGTCTCGTGATGAGGCAGTTAGTCCCAGGTACCACTTCCGTGATGTTCTTTGGTCCAGGTTGGACACAGACTTCTCTGGGAATTCATGTTACTGTGAACATGACAGCATGTTTCAGTGCGACTGTAGTGAGCACCTCAGTTTCCCTGCCTCTAAAATTGAACATAATGCCTTCTCTACTATCGGGAGGAAGGTCAAAGAGAATGACTTCAAAATGCTTTCCAATTTTATGATATTTTGATCTTGCTGTCAACTGAGTCTTTTGCTTTTTTTAGTTTGCTACAAAAGTCAGCATGGCTGTCTGTTTTCTTCTAGCTATATGCTAGCCTTGACTACAGTGATTACTGCTGCGTCAGTACACAAAGCATTCACAGCGTTTATTGCTGCTGCGAAAGGTGTCTTTAACTTTTAGCTGTTACTTGTTCTCTGGGATAACATACTCGCTGTACAAAAAATTTAGAGGTTTTTTTTACAATAGTGGCTGGGAGAATTCAGATTGGAGATCTGGAGGTGGCTAGAAAAAACTATGCACACTTGATCAGGTATGATTCAACTGCTAAACATGCCAAGTCCTATCAGGAGGCACGTTATTCAACTGACATTTCAGAGCCCATTCCTACAGCAAGGTTTGCAGAAGTAGGATAAACCATTCGAATGCTTGTGCATGCCTAACTCTTCAGTATGCAAGATGGGATTTATATATAAGTATTCCATGTTTGTATGTCTGTGCATTAAGTGGCTTGAGGACTTGGGGGTTTTACCTATATTCCATTTGGTTTTGTTATAACAATGTTCCTCCTTCAACAGCGTCCTCTGTTGATGTCCAGCCTTGTCAGCATAGCTGCTGTGACAAAAAACCCTCAAACTTGGAAGTATTTAATTTTCATGCCCAAATACTGTGTCGAATCCTGGAATATGCCATGTGCTTTATCTCCCACTGCAGACCACTTGCATTTAGGGCGCTGGGCCTCACTGAGCTGGCCTACTTTAGGAGGGAAGGAAGGAGCCCGGCTTAGGCTTTTGTCTCCCACAAATTCAGAGTAAGATGGTAAGACCGTCTTGATGTAGCAGTGTCGGTACCTAACGCATTTCTCTGTTCTCCGTAGGCTGGTACACTCCTCCGAAAGAAGATGGCTAATAGTGAGGACCGTCGTATACCTGGACCAATGTCAAGAAAACGAGCTCTTTTTTATGTTTTCCAACACACAGACTCAAGCTATGAGAGCCCCTATAACAGCCGTACTGAAGACTTTAGCTATTAGATAAGTTAGTGGATAATCTGTCAACTGACACGTAAAGTATAAGTTACAGCCTTACCATTCCGCTCTTCTTAGGTATCTGGACTGAGCAGTTTGGGCCTTTGCCATATCTGTTCTTATGGATTAAGCATATTTGGGCCACGCCCACCCTTCTCCCTTTTTTTTTATTTGAAAGCGTAAGCTCCCTACAGCAGGCTATTGAGTTACTAAAGATCATTCAATAGGAGTGAGTTGTTCACACACTTTTGTGTATTTCTTACCTTTTGCAAAATGCAGGCTGCAGAGACTTGCGTTGTATCGTTTCATTTAAAGCCAAGAAGTTTAATACATTGTTTAATACTGTTTTAGGAAATGTCAGGTCTTGCAAATCACAGTAGTTTTTCTGGTCTAAAATGACAGCATTTGTAGTATTTCCAAATTAATGATATAGGAAGAACACATGTATGTTAAGTCATTAAACATTTTTCATGGCTGTATGAGAATATGAACTGTTTCTTGGAAAAGATGCTCTTTGTTTAGATGATGTTAATTTTTTGTTTTGTTTTGGTTTTTTGTTTTTGTTTTCTTTTTTCCTTTTTTTTTTTTTTTTTTTTTTTTAAGCAGAGCAAGGCTGTGCCAATAAAACCTTGTAACCTAGTCACTTCCACTGGGGCATCAGAACTTGCTGGGCTGTTCATGCTACTTGTTGGCTCAACCTCCTTAACATGAAGAGCCACAGTATGAAGCTTGAAGTTATTTAAAGTACTAAAAGCCTTTTTAGGCGTTCCATTTTATTAACGGGTTGTTGCAATCATTTGTAAACTAATGAACTTATAAAGTGATTGGCACAAATCGAGATGAAAGTCCTTGATGAAAAATTTTTATATAAAAGCTACAATAAAGTACAAAAACTTGTCATCTGATTCAGAGGTTAAAGAAATGTTGCCATAGTCACGATGGTGGTTTTGTTATTGAGAGACTAATGGGAACTGTTCTTTCTTTATTAGGAAATGAATCTGGGTCTGTGTAATTACACCATATTTCATTGCCTTACCTAAATCGATTCTATTTTGGTTGTAGTACTCATCGTTAGGCCTTTGCACCCCTCTGGGGCTGAGCTAAGGGTGTGTACCATGGATTAAGCACTTTTTAGAAGCGCAGAAGCATGTTTTTGTTACGGTTTTTTAGTTGACTATCAACTCTGTGCTCTTTTCTCTATCAGGCACTCATGGGTCCTTGCGCGTTTGCTTCTAGATCCAGTTTTTAGCTCGAAAGAAACGAGGGGGAGAGGTTTGGCACTACTTCCAATATAACGTATTGTTTCAAATGTACGGTGGGTGACTTCCCAGCCTTTCTGCTTGCGTGGTTGTACCGGTGTTTGTATAAACCCTGGCAGCCGAGCGCTGCGGGGAGCG